AACAGATTCAGAGTTTCAGGCTTTACATTGAGGTCTTTGATCCATTTGGAAGTGATTTTGTGCAGGGTGAAACGTACGGGTTTAGTTTCATTCTTCTACAGGTGGAGATCCAGTTTTGCCAGCACCATTTGCTGAACATGCTGTCTTTTCTCCAGTGAATATTCTTGGCACCTTTGTCAAATATCAGGTGGCTGAAATTGCATTTACTCATATTTGGGTCTTCAATTTTGTTATTGATATACGGGTCTATTTTTGTGCCAGTACCATGCTGTTTTTATGACAATAGCTCTGTAATACAGTTTAATGTCTGGTATAGTAATCCCTCCCAGCATTGCTCTTAATGCTCAGGGTTACTTTGGCTATCCGAGGTCTTTTGTGCTTCCATATGAATCGTAGGATGGTTTTTTCCAACTCTGTGAAAAATGTCATGGGGATTTTGATTGGCATTGCATTGAATCTATAAATGGCTTTTTTAGGATACTCATTTTCACAATATTAATTCTTCCAGTCCATGAGATTGGTGGGCCTTCCATCTTCTGATATCTTCCTCAATCTCTTTTTTTTAAAGAGTTAAATTTTTCATTGTAGAGGTCTCTAATGTCTTTGGTCAGGTTTATTCTGAAATTTTTTTTTTATGGCTATTGTGAAGGGGAGTATTTCGATGTGCGCTTTCTGATTGTTTGTTATTGGTATATAGAAAGGCTACAGACTTTTGTAGATTAATTTTGTAACCTGCCACTTTACTGAACGTGTTAATAATTTCTAAGAGTGTTCTGGTGGAATTTTTGGTGTCTCTTAGGTATAATATTAAATCATCTGCAAAAAGGGATAATTTGATCTCTTCTTTTCCAATTATTACTCTTTTAATTTCCTTCTCTTTTCTTATTGCTCTTGAAAGACTTTCAAGCACTATGTTAAAGAGAAGTGGAGATAGTGGACAGCCTTGTCTGGTTCCTGATTTCAGTGGGAATGTTTCCAGTTTTTCTCCATTTTTCTCCATGTTGGCTGTAGGTTTGTTATATATGGCTTTAATTATGTTGAGGTATGTTCCCTCCAGTCTAATTCCCTCTAGGACTTTGAACACAAATGCATGTTGAATTTTGTCAAAGGCCTTCTCTGCATCTGTTGAGATGACCATGTGGTTCTTGTCTATGAGCCCATTTGTATGATTTATGATGTTTATTGACTTGTATGTATTGGACCATTCCTGCATCTCTGGGATAAAGCCGACTTGATCATGGTGGATGATCTTTTTGATGTGTGTCTGTATGTGGTTTGCAAGTATCTTCTTGAGAATTTTTGCATCTATGTTCATTAAGGATATGGGTCTATAGTTTTCTCTTTTGGTTGTGTCTTTACCTGGCTTTGGTATTAGAGTGATGCTGGCTTCATAGAAGGAATTTCGAAGTTCTCCCTCCATTTCTATCTCTTTGAATAAATTATCTAGTATTGGGTGTAGATCTTTCTTTAAATATCTGATAGAATTCTACTCTAAATCCATCTGGTCCTGCACTTTTTTTAGTGGGAGGTTTTGTATTACTGTTTCAGTTTCTTTTTGTGATATGGGTCTGTTTAAGCTGTTAATCTCTTCTTGGTTTAGTTTTGGTGGTTCCCATGCCTTTAGATATGCATCCATTTCTTTTAGGTTTTCGAATTTGGTAGCATATAGGTTTTTAAAGTATTCCCTTATAATGTTCTGTATCTTTCTGGTGTCTGTTGAAATGTTTCCCCTTTCATCTCTGATTTTGTTGATTT